CAAATATCACTCCACTTTGAATAGCACAATTCAAAACTTATTTAAGTTGTTAGCATATTGCTAACAGCTAGGGCTGCTCAATATTGGAAATCGGACATTGCAATATTTTATTTTTCTATTATATATATTGCGATATGAATACAATTTTATTTTTTGGCTTGAATAGCTCTATTCGAAAAAAAAAAAAACATTAATTTATATAGATTGTTGCATTGATTTTGTAAGGGTGTGAATCATGTATTAGAAACATACAAACTCCAAGAATAATTACAATAAAACAGAAAAAAGTCACAATAAACAACACTTTACGGTTTTCCCAGAGAGTCAAACAGTATTCAGGTACAGAAATTGAATAATGAAATGTAAAATAATACTGTATAGTCTTCATTGTTTTAATAATTAAGTAAAGTTATTAAAATCACAAATGATGTACCTTATTGTGACTGGATGCTTTAAACTCTCTTGAAAAGCCTTTATAACACATGCAAATGATTAAGTTTCACTCTGTTATGTTTATACTTTGCAATGACTTCACAAATGTCATGTATTCTTAATTGTTGATTAACTATAAACCCATCTTAACATTGCATGTCCTGTGATGTGTCTCTAACTATTTCATAACTGTAACAAGAGGCTATTCAATCATAACTTACTGTTAAAACAGTTATCATACCATTATTTATCAACATGTGGCTCTTTTTGGATTCTCAGAAGCTATAGAAATTAAAAATATAACCATTGTTTTTGTTTACATCCCTCAAAATGGCCTATATGTGTAAATACACAGACATAAATCACTCATCAACATATATCATTTACTTTAATGCCCTACTGAACAATGCAAGTCACCTCAGAAAGAGTAGATGAACAGCAAATTTTCATTTCTCTTCAAACAATCAAACCCAACAAACATGCCTCTGAAACATGTCTAACAATAACAAGAATAGCTCTATTGTACAGGCCGAGTCCTATTGTTTTGTGTTGATGAGAAAAACCTACACATCCGGCTCACATTAGCGTACATGCCCTTCTTTTGTGCGAGCTCATACCAACAAACGCCGCTGCCATGGAAGGTATTCATGGGAGATTTCCCTTCGCTCACTGTGTACATAAAACAACAATGATGTCAATGCCAACTAGTAAAAGGGGGATTTGTTGTGGGGTGCTTTAATGGCCTTAAAAGAGATGTTAATGGCTGATCGAAACAGACAATGGTCCACCTCAAATAAGTGACCCACACCGCAGAGAACGAGCAGACCGGATGACCCCGCACATACCTCCTCAATGGCTTTGCTTGGAAAAATGGAGCTCATTCATTTACTGATTCTGATCAGAAGCAAAATACTACTCGTAATTAAACAGAGAAGTCTTTAAAATGCTTTTTTTTGACTGGCTTGGTACATTTTTATTTTTTACAGCAGAAAATTCACATAACTTGTTAACATTTGTGCTTTCACAGCAATTACAAATAACAACAGCAAAAACAAATACTGTAAATCAAAATATGCTCCTCTCAACATAAGGTTTAACACATTTCCTGAATAAATTAAGCAACTGTATTGCACAATAAAGCACATTTGATGGCAACTGCTATCATTACTGTGAAAATAAGGTCTCCAGTAGTCTCTTGAAGAATTTTACAAATGAAATCCATCCCAATTAGCATGAGACACATGTATTAAATATTTTATAGCACATTATATTATGAATCATCAGTGGAAGCAGCTGCAAAACACAAACATTAAATCATTCATTCATTTCCCTTCGGCTTGGTCCCTTTATTCATTAGGGGTCACCACAGTGGAATGAACCACCAACTTATCCAGCATGTTTTACACAGCGGATGCCCTTCCAGCTGCAGCCCCAGTACTGGGAAACACCCATACACACTCATTCACACACTATGGCCAGTTTAGTTTATTCAATTCACTTATAGCGCATGTCTTTGGACTGCGGGAAAACCGGAGCACCCAGAGGAAACCCACATGAACACGAGAACATGCAAACTCCACACAAAAATGCCAACTGACCCAGCCGGGACTCGAACCAGCAACATTCTTGCTGTGAGGTGACAGTGCTAACCACTGAGCCACTGGGTTGCCAAAAGACAAACGAAGTGAAGTAATAATTTAAATAGTGATTCAAAGCACTTGAATAGTACAGTATTTTCTGATTTATTTCCACATAACTTCATTTAATCTTCTTAAGCAAGATACTAGATTAAAGCCACTGAGACATGCAATAAATCTGTGACTGAAAGCTGCTATAGTCAGTTTGCTTAATGCTTTTCTCTGAGTTCATATTTATAGGTGGTACTGTACTGTATATGACATTACATTGCAGGGAAGTATAGTTATTGTATTATGAAACCTGTGATTACAGCAGCTAGGAACTCATTTTTCCACAAATCAGAACAAAAAATCTTGACAAAACAAGGCAACTTTTCCATGAATCATGCACAAAATTATATCCACAGTGTAAGACCTTTACAGTTAATATAATAGGTTATAGTACAGTTTTAATTGCTCTTGAGTAAACACTATCCAGAGGCGAAACTGCTTTGTCAATACAACGGCCCTGTCAAGACATGTTTTTTCTTCTAAACTTGACATCCATCTAAAAAGACCAGCCTGACAAATGTCCAGTGCATTAGCTCTGTTACCAAACCTAGTGAGTCAGAATTAAATGTCACAGAAAATATGTAATTTACAGTAGAACACATTAAATTTCCGGCATATAAATAACACTCTGCTGAGTACATAAACAGCATGCAATTGTTTTCAATAGCATTTGATTTTAACATGTTGCTAAGCTAACAGAACTATACAAATCATGTTTTTTAACATGTTAAATGACATGAAATTTTACCGATTAGGTACACCAAGATGAATAGTAGTTCTGTTTGTGGCATAAATAGCAGTGGTGTAGTCCTAAAATAAAAAGGTGGTGTACTATTACTCACCCAATCCAAATTTTAAAATAGGCAAAGAAACGACGTAATTCAATGTGTCTTTGTTTTATTTGATATTTATATCAAACAAGGAAACACGTGTTTCTATAGTAAAAATATGCAATATTCTAACAATCTATTGATAAACACACCTTGTGCTCACGGTCTGCACAGCTGTGGTTTGCTGACTAACAGAAAAACGAGTTTAGGAGCGTGATTTTGCCACCGTTTTTATATCAAATTTAAAGGGGACTGAGGCGGTCATTTAGTTAGTGTACAGTTCATACTGGTAATCGAAAAAGTTTTAAAGTGGTTGAATGGAAATATAGGAGGGCTAAAGCCATGCCCATGCTGTTTTATAATTTTACTTGAACATTTCCAGCGAGACATCATTCAGCTGATTTGTTGTGATCTTCGAAAAACTCAAATACTCAAACTCAATACACAAAATTTAGGGAAGTCTAACCACCAAAACAAGTGAGAATACCGAGGGTACAATCCTCAGAAGTCGTAACACCCAAACAGCTCGTGGAAAAAAGTAGACATGCTGAGTATACGTGCGTATAGCAAGGACTACACCACTGATAAATAGCATAGTAGAATGAAACTCACAACTGATTTTGAAAGTATTTGAAGTTAAGTTAACCACATTGTTACAACACATAGCAGCTGAACATAGTCATTGTGAAAAGTGACATAAGAAGATTTGTAAACCTTACGTGTATCATGTATATAAATGGCAGTCAATCCTCACAGGAGAATTCATTTCTCAAACAACTTCAGTAGAATCAGCATTTAGCATGACGAGCTAGCAGTACAGGTACAAAACCTTGTGATTTAACAACATAATCTTAAAGTGACTGATGTGGGAGAGCATCATATGACAAAACTCATGTCATTTATGTCACAAAACTCTACAAATAGGAGAATCCAGTTACAAAAGTGAGCTACTTGTGGCTACTATATAAGGATGGAGAAGTGATTTCAATACAGTTTGAAAATTAACATGTTGCTACGCTAACAGCACTTTTAGAAAACCTTGTAATGACTATTGTTGCCAATTTGGGACAACCCAATAAGGATAGCAAAACAGTGGACACCCTGGACAGCAAAACAGAGGTAACAGTTAGCATGTAGCTAAGTTAACAGCAATGTTACAAAATTTTGTGTTTTCTTTTCACCCTAATCATCATGAAATGTGCTGAATTGAGAGACAGACAGAATTTTGTGAAATTAGCATGTTGCTAAGGTAACAGTACATTTCACCTTATGATTTTAAATGAAAAAAATTACCACATTGGGGGCACCTACAGCACATCCCTTCTGAAAAAAAAAAACAGCTTAAAACAGCCTAGGCTGTTGGTTGATCAGCCTGGTTTTAGAGGGATTTTGGTCATTTCCAAATTTGCTAGTCAGGCTGGAAAATGACTAGCTAAAACCAGCTTGACCTGCCTGATTTAAGCTAGACATAACTGGTTTTGGCTGGGCTCCCAGTCTGGCTAAGCTGGTCAAGCTCGTTTTAGCTAGTCATTTCCCAGCCTGACCAGCTAAGACTAGGCTGGATATAGCTGAAACCAGCCTGGAAATGGCCAAAATGCTTTCAAAACCAGGCTGGTCGACCAGCTAAATCCAGCTAACAAGCTAATGGTGGTTTATGCTGTTTTTTTTAGCAGGCATGGGGAAATACTGTCTATAACATGTTACTTTACTTTGAATAACACAATTGACAACTAATTTCAGTAGTTGTCATGTGTCTGTGTAAATAGGCTACACAAATATTTGTTGTAATCATAATTAATTTGTCATTACATTTAAATATTTACATCATCTATTTTCAGCATAATAACTTATAAATGCATAATAAAAAACAAGCATTACTCCTGTCCACCATCTGAGATCCATTTTTCCACTTCCTGCACATTATTATAGGTTGGTCTATTTCTATGTTAGGCTGTCATTAACAACTCATTTGGCTCTTAAAGAGAGAAATTGTGATGCAAATTCATCAACATGGTTAATTATTGGTGAACCTCCACACAAACATCATTATTTTGGATTTTTATATTAGCAATGTTCTCTCAGTCAATTAAATCTAAGCAGTTTGGATCCCAAAATCAGTGTCTTAACGAAGGAGATGCCAAGAAGCGAGCAGGTAGCGGAAGAGGGCCATGCTGAGATCTTTTAGAGTCTGGACTTCTACACATACCACTCTTCTTTAGAGATCACAGAGCCGTCCATCTGAGGAATCATGTCCACAGAGACCTCCACCTCAGATCCGTACTCATATATGTAAGTCTGCTCATTAAACGCACATCTCTCATGCTCCTCAATCAGTCCTGTTCGATAGGCCTTGATCCTGCTGTCATGGCATGTGTGAAACTCCTGAACACTCCCTCCTAAGATACTGGAGCCCCTGTAGAGTTCCAGCTTTTTCTCTTCATCCGAGTCATCGGAGAAGGTCAGGCTGTGAGGTAATGAAGGGTGCGACGGCACATTGCCAGCCTTGCTGTAGCCATTTCCAAGGATTTGCTTCTTGGTACTGTAATCTCCTTTAAACATGCATCTCCGGCGATACAAAAACACTACGAGGAGCGTAACGGCAGCCAACAGCACTGTGCCACAAACAACAGCTCCACCAATGACGACACCGGCTTGCTGCTGATCCTGAAACACCTCGTGCGGGTAGCTAGGGAATTCTGGGTAAGAAAAGAGATGGTGCTAAAGAGAGTGTCGGAGAGAGAGGTGGTGACCTCTCTTAAATACAACAAAGGGGGTTTGTTAAAGACATTGTGTGCAGTTTTCTGTTTGTTGTTGATGAATTTCCTGTTAAAACAGGAAATGGGGTCTTAGATGATATTAAAAGGATTGACCTTGACATTAATCAGCCCATTTTCTAATACACTTTCACTAAAAGCTTTGAGAATAGTAATTTTTTATGGTTTTGTTTAAAAAAAATTTTTGTTCTTTGAGGCTGCATTTATTTGACCAATTACACAGTGAGAGGATACTATTGTCAAATATTGTGACTGTTCAAAGTAAGTGTTTTCCATTTTAATATACTTTTAAATGTAACTGATGCCACTGATTTAAAGCTAAAATGTCAGTATGATTGAGTACTGATCCTTCAGAAATCATTCTGATATGACTATTTAGTGCTCAAGAATATGTTTTATTATTATTAGTGTTGAATATGATTATGTTACTTAAAGATGCAGTAGATGATCTGCCTAAATGCGATCCATTAACATAATATCTTTGAAATACAGTCCCTCCTCTGCCGTACAATGCCATGCCTCTTGAAATCATGAACGCGCACCGTAAAGATGACAGTAAACAATCCAAATCATGTCATTCGCTAGTTAGAAAACTTTACAGTATTTTATAATACTACAATTCTAAAGCACATTTTCATTTGTGTAGCTAAACTTTTCATAATGTGCAATATTTCATGCATGCAAGGATCGCTGGTCTCACTCTCTCTCAAGTCTTGTCCTAAAGCGACTATTGTATGCTTAGTACTTGGCCAGCAACGTGCAGGAATTACACTTATTACTAAGCCATACTTACGTACTATTTTAGACAGAATATTCAAAGTAGCACGGTAAACAATATAGCGCATCACAGGTTGTCATTGTTCAAAAAAGAACCAATGTAATGTATAAATAAAACCAACTTCACCTTAGTAAAGCAGGCCAGTTGAAATAGCACTATTTACTTATGTTTTGTTGTTAAACTAAATAAAAATCTACATTATCGATGCTGTAACAGGACATATGCAGGAATCCTAAAGGTAATTTCAATACCTTTTAAAGACTTTTTAAAGACCTCTGAATATTTTAAGACGTCATCACCACTTCAAGTTCTAATCAGTATCAGACGTTTAACTTAATAAACAGTTGTCAAAAACTAGTTGTAGTTAAATAAATCAATGGAGCACAACCATGCAACAGAACTCAGCTCAGAAGTTTAGAAGAGACAAAGCTTGAAAGAATAAATTAAGCAGTTGTTTTCAGCAACAGGCTTCAGCCACTGTTTAAATTTGTCTTTCTCCAACCAGGAGTACACAAGCTTACATTTTTCCATTTTGCCTTCTGTTTTACTACATGCGGAGAGCGTCACATCACCTTCCAGCTTTGTCGCAAATAACCTGACATCACCCGGAAGGAGGAGCCTGGCCGGACGCGCCCCGGCCCAAACTTATTGTGTAAAAAAATTTATGAAATAGGAAAATAAATATATTTAATCTTTTTTGAAGTCAAACACTCTGGACACCGCTTGAACAAAATTTAAGTCCTCGTAGAAACGCGATAAAGACTATTCAATACCTTTTAAGGGACTTAATTTTCTCATAATTTATTTATCAACTTTTAATACTTTTTAAAACCCTGCAGACACCCTGTGTAAAACTGGCCTTATGAAATTAAAAATAGTCACATCAATCTTTCGCCGGAGGATTTCAGTGGCTAAACAACACTTCCGTGCATATAACCCATTCGTAACAAAATAATCTACACAAGCTTTGCATGACTAAAACAGTTTTAAAACATTAAAACATTACCTGTCCAAAAGAAATACTTCAGCCATGGTGTCATCCTTCCTCCAGCAAACAAAAGTAACTCCAATATTGATTCAGGATTTTTCATTCATTTTCTTCTCGTCTTAGTCCCTTTATTAGTCTGGGGTCTTTTTTTTACGCAGCGAATGCCCTTCCAGCTGCAACCCATCACTGGGAAACCTCCATACACACTCATTCACACACATATACTATAGATAATTTAGCTTTGCCAATTCACCTGTACCACATGTCTTTGGATTTGTGGGGGAAACTGGAGCACCCGGAGGAAACACACGCAAACGCAGGGAGAACATGCAAACTCCACACAGAAATGCCTACTGACCCAGCTGAGGCTCGAACCAACGACCTTATTGCTAACTATTGCGCCACTGCGTCACCTGATTTAGGATTGTTTTTACCACTGTCACTCTCTTGTGTGCAGGTGAGTGTGGCACACGTGTATGCGCAAATGGCGGATCTGCGCGAACAGCTGTGCACATTTGTTGACAGTTTGGGCTACTTATAAAAAAAAAAAATAGGAATTGTCGGCCTGACAAATTTTAATTGGATGAACATTTTTTAGTTTTATGCCCTTCCCAGAATGTAAAAATACATAAATACGTTTAGATCATTTACTTTAATCATTACTATTGGAATGTGAAGAGACTTTCAACAACAACAACAAAAAATGTTTATTAGGACAATCATCTACTGCACCTTTAATATTTTTGTCAGAACCATAATACATGTTTTCAGGGGTTTTAAATTGAAATGCATACATTTTGATATAATACACAGACTAAAGAGCCTTAAAAGCTCAATTTTGACTACACAAGGTCTTTAACAAAGAAAAAAGGGAGAAGGGATTGGGAAGACTTTTCTTCTTCTTTCTTTGTACAATCCACATAGAATTTAATCCCAGGTGCCGTCACTACACCAAAGAGACCAAACCATGAAGCAGGCCAGAAGGAACACACATACCGTACGCCACATAAACACACAAGTAAATGTAAACATGCAGTTTCTATAGACCACACCTTATGCAAACAGCATGCAAAAAGAACATATAATTCAAGATATCCTCAAAGAGCAAGGTTCATTCAAGAGCCACATGCAGAGTCAACTTGCAGCCACATGCAAAGCGCTAACCGAAACCAAACCTCCGAGCCAAAGAAATGAATATAGCTTCAGGCAGCAAGCGTTCCCATTGTTTATTGGCAAAACAATGGCGTGATAATGCTTATTAAGAGATGTTTCAGAGGCAGTTGAGAGCAAAGATAGTCATGCATCTTCACATGCACAAAAGCAGTTAAACCACATGCATATTGTGTAATTAACTTACCTGTCACTATGACCTCAACAGATGCAGAGCCTGAGCCAATGCTGTTGGTGGCGTCACAGACATATGTGCCTGCAATGTCATAAGTTACTGGACCTTTGAAGATCAGCACATCATCTCGAAGTTCTGCTGAACTTGGCAATGTTCCATTCAAGCTGAAAGGGAGAAATGAACATCAGGTTCTGGTTGAGGTTTTTAATGATGCTAAGTACAACTAAGAGAAGACCAAAATGATTCAATATAGTGCATCCTGAAAGTATTCATAGCGCTTTACTTTTTACACATTTTTTATGTTACAGCCTTATTCCAAAATGGACAAAAAAATTTATTTCCTCAAAATTCTATACACAATCCTCCATAATGACAATGTGAAAAAATAGTTTCTTAAATTGGTGCAAAATTATTAAAAATAAAAAAGCTTAAAAATCACATGCGCATCAGTATTCTCAACCTTTTCCGTGAAGCTCTAATCTGAGTTTAGGTACATTCTGTTTCCACTGATCATTCTTGAGATGTTTCAGCAGCTTAATTGGAGTTCACCCGTGGTAAATTCAGTTGATTGGACATGATTTTAAAAGGCATACACCTGTCTATATAAGGTCCCAGGGTTACATGTCAAAGCACAAACCAAGCATGAAGACAAAGGAATTGCCTGTCGACCTCCGAGACAGGATTGTCTCGAGCTACAAGGCTGGGAAAGGTTACAGTAAAATTTCTGCTACTCTGAAAGTTCCAATGAGCACAGTGGCCTCCATCATCCATAAGTGGAAGGTTTTTGAAACCACCAGGACTCTTCCTAGAGCTGGCAGGCCATCTAAGCTAAGTGATCGGGGAAGAAGGGCCTTAGTCAGGGAGGTGATCAATAACCCGATGGTCACTCTGTCTGAGCTCCACTGTTCTTCTGTGGAGAGAGCTAAAACTTACAGTAGGACAACCATCTGTGCAGCAACCCACAAATTAGGCCTTTATGGTAGTGTGACGATCGTCATTAGAATTTTCCTTATTATTATATGAGTGACGTCTGATTGGGTTACTGCTGTCAGCTGATGCAACGTTATTTAGAGCGCCTTGGAAGGGTTTCTCACTCTCTCTCATTCATTCCTTGTCACGCAGTCAGCATGCAGGTGATTCCAGGTCACTGAGAGGTCATGCTGACTGAGTGTGTGTGTGTGTGTAGAGAGCGCGCTGCGTGCTTGTTGCTTCGAGTCCGTTTTTGTAGCTCAATATGTGTTTTCGTGCTGCGTGGTCTTGCTCTGAGGTAGTGGCAGTGTTCTTTAAAGTTAGTCACGGCATCGAAAGTGTGAGTATGTTTTGATGCGGACGTTGAAGCGGCAACATTTATGAATGGAAGAGTTTATGATTTTGGCGGAGGTTGTATTTGCGATGCATGGTGAACGTATTATGCGCTCGGGTTTGTTTGTGGAGTGAGGCGCGGGTTTATTTTTGTTTTTTGGCGCTCGAGTTGCCTATTTGTTTTGGGTTTTTTCTTTCCTTTTGTTTTAATGTTTGATCAATATCGTGATCGGAATTTGTGTTGCAGTTTTCTGGGCCCAGTAGCATCGACGGGTGATCGGGTAAGCAAATGTTACTTTTTTGATTTATATGGTTTTGTTTAACTTGTAAATGTGTATGTATGTCCAAAAGATTAAATTGAGATGGTAGAGTAACCATATGAATGTGCATTGCGTTCACGATTGCTTCAACGTGCACAAATGGAAAATCTACTTTAACGTATACGAATTGAGAGACATTTCAGAGTGCATTAATTACCCGATTACTTCAGCGTGCACAAATGGAAAATCTACTTTAGCATATACGAACTGAGAGACATTTCAGAGTGCATTAATTACCTGATTACTTCAGCGTGCACAAATGGAAAATCTACTTTAGCGTATACGAACTGAGACATTTCAGGTGCATTGAATGTGCAATTGATTCAGCGTGCACAAATGGAATATCTACTATGTGTAAAGTGTACAACTGAGTTCTATAAGTTCTTGAATGTGTGATTGATTTGATTTGAATTTGAAATATTATGTTTGTGGGAATTTGATTAATATTGGTTGTTGAATATTTATAAGTGGTTTATTTGATTTATTTCTTTATGGTTGGTTGATGTATCACCCGTTGATGGTTTTGTTTGTAAAAGGTAATTAATAGGTATTGTGCCTGGGCCTGGAAATTTAAGTTTGTTTGGTTTATAGATTTACTTACAATGTGTTGAAGTTAAAGTTTGTTCTTTTGTTTTTTTCTTTATTAATTCAGTGAGCTGTTGGATGATTGAATATCTGATTTGGTTTTTAATAAATCATGCATCTGTTGAAACTTAAATTTTCATTTAATTGAATTATTTAAGAAACTGTAGTGGGGTCTTTCAACCCCTGGCGCCCAACCCACTTTATTAGCCAAATACCGCTACAGTAGAGTGGCCAGATGGAAGCCACTCCCTGCCTGGAATTTGCCAAAAGGCATCTGAAGGACTCTCAGACCATAAGAAACTAAATTCTCTGGTCTGATGAGACTAAACTTTAACTCTTTAAAGTGAATGCTAGGCGTTACTTTTGGTAAAAACCAGGCACCGCTCATCACCAGGCTAATACCATCCCTACAGTGAAACATGGTGGTGGCAGTATAGTGCTGTGGGGATGTTTTTCAGCAGCAGGAACTGGAAGAATAGTCAGGATAGAGGGAAAGATAAATTCAGCAAAGTACAGAGACATGCTAAGTGCTCTTGACCTCAGACTGGGGCGAAGGTTCATCTTCGAACAGGACAATGACCCAAAGCACACCGCCAAAATATCATTGGAGTGGCTTCATAACAACTCTGTAAATGTCTTTGAGTGGCCTAGCCAGAGCCCAGTTCTAAATCCTATTGAACATCTCTAAAGAGACCTGAAAATGGCTGTGCACCATCGCTTACCATCCAAACTGATAGAGCTTTAGAGGTACAAAAAAGAAAAATGGGCAAAAATTCACAAAGACAGGTTTGCCAAGCTTGTGGCATCATATTCAAAAAGACTTGAGGCTGTAATTGCTGCCAAAAAAGTGCATCAACAGAGTATTGAGCAAAGGTTGTATTTACTTATGTACATGTGATTTTTCAGATTTTTTATTTTTAATAAATGTGCAACAGTTTACATAAAAATATTTCACATATTCATTATGGGTTGTTGTGTATAGAATTTTGAGGAAATAAATGAATTTAATCCATTTTGAAATTAGGCTGTAACATAAAAAATTTGGAAAAAGTGAAACGCTATGAATACTTTCTGGATGCACTGTATTAAACGGACTGTTCTGGAATTACAGCTACAGTTTGTGTCAGAGAATTGCTAGAGAAATCATTTTGACTTGACCCTGAATTAATCTTTACAGTAATACATTTGATCAATAGGCAAGACATGGTCCTGGAATAAATGTTAAAATAATCAACATGAACAACTTTAAGAAAAATATAAACTTTGCATTCACAGATTAGCAGATGTAAGTTACCACAGTATAGGCTAAGGAATAAACACACAGCTGAATTATCAATTAAAAAGCGACAAATTTGTATTATTAAATATTACCTTGATTGAATGTTATTTAAAGTTATTATTATATTATGATAGTTAAACACCTATTCTCAAAATACATTTGAATCCTTAATGTTGTTTTATCTGTATGGACATTTATGCAAAATAATCTAAATAAAAAAAGAGGAATGTGCATTTCATATCACATTGATTTCAATGAGACTGTATATTTTGATATCTTCATTAATGTAGTTTAAATGTAGCATAGTTTGAATGATAAATAAAAGAGTACAGTGTTCAAATGAGTATTTATGTAGACCAAAGGGACGTACTATCTCCACTGATACAAAGAGATTGTTGGATTGGCATCAGCCAAGCAGGTCAGCTGAACGTTTTCTCTGTTCAAATACCAGTTTCCGTCAAAGCCCTCAATGATCACCTCTGGTTCGTCTGTAAACAAGAAGTAAAATAGAGCATACATTTATCCCATAAATATAATATTTCTGTTTTCTAAAAACTCCATATATAATCAATGTAGTCTCATGCTTGCCCTAGCAGCCTTCGTTTATGCTCCTCTTTCCTTCCTTTATGACAAATTAACAAAACAATTGCTAGTAAGATCCACACTTAAAATTTGAAAAAAAATTAGACATCATTTTGGTTTGCAAAACATATCTCCAAAATCTTCCATTCATTCTAATCCGGTGTTCAGTCCGGATTAGTTTTTGAAATATATATTTTTTATTTTGTCTTTTTTTTACTGTAATCTGCCATAAAAGTCAAATAAAATAATAAAAAAAAAAAGTGTACAAACCTTTAATTAAAATTATTTAATATAATACAAAAAAAAAATATTCACCCAAAAATGAAATATGTGCCAGCATTTACTCACCCTTCACTTGTTCAAAACCTATTTGGCCTCTTCTTTTGAACACAAAATAAGTTCAATTTGAAGAATGCTGGATAATGGTACCCATTGACTTCCACACAGCAAATTCTTTTCTACAGTACTATGGAAATCAATGGGTAACATCAACCAATATTTTTCAAAATATCTTCTTTTGTTGTTTAAAACCACATGAGGGGGAGTAAATGTTCATTTTTGGGAGAACTTTACCTTTAGATTCAATTTTGAAACCTTTTTTGAAAACTTGTCTGTCAGGTTCTGATCAATTCAATTAGATATGCACTGTTTTTTGTTTGGTGTTTCTGACTTTAATTTAAATGAATGATAATTAAAGAAATATTTGACCCAAAAGTGAAAATTTACTCACTGTTTACTCTCACTCAGTTGGTTCCAAACATTTATGAGTATCTTTCTTCTCTTGAACACAAAAGAAGATAATTTGAAGAAAGGTGAAAACCTGTAACCATTGACATCCACAGTGGAAATAAAAGAACTATGAAATTCAATGATCAAAGGTTTCCGACATTCTTCAAAATACCTTCTTTGTGTTCAACAGAAGAAAAAGAAAAGTCAAACAGGTTTGGAACAAGTGAAGGGTGAGAAAATGTTAACAGAATTTTCATTTTTGGGTGAACTATTCCTTTACTTGGACAATTTTGAAAGAAATGAAAGAAATTTGCTTTTAACAGGCATCCAAACCACCTGGTTGACCTTTTATCCATAAGCTATCATTATTATTTTAATTGCTTTTTGTTTTTTTAAGGTGTGCACCTTAAAGGGTTAATAATCATTTTTTTCTTTCTTACTAACCAAAAACATTTGAGCAGTAGTGTATTGCGAGGTTTCTTACACTGAATGTTGAGCGTGACGCTGTCTGTGTACTGTTCTTCATTATACGTGGAGATGCAGGTGAGCAGCTGTTGGTGTATTTCTCGACTGGGAACCACAAAGTAATCACTGCGCACTGTGACAGTCCCGTCAGGGTTGCTGATCTCCTGGGTGTTGGATTCTCCATCTAAATCAGTTTCCCATGTGATCACACTGGCTGGCTTCCCGTTGGCAGAAACACATGTGGCAACTGTCATCTTCAGATCTTTGGATCCCGCCACTATAGAGGGTGTGGACAGACTCATCTGGATCATCGGACGAGCTGCAGGACAAATACACCAAAAATCTGTGGATTACTGCAATATTCTGCGTCACTGTCTATACTGTAAAATATCATGGGTTCCACACAATCAATGTGTGTTGAGACATAAAATAATTGTTGTCCATCAAAAAACTAACATGTGTTGTTTCAGCACATTTTAAAAAAAGTAGTATGTACAAACAGCAAACATTGTTTTTTTGTGTGTGGTTTTTTTTTGAGTGTATATAAAAAGCAGTTTTCATGTAAGCATCAAAAGAGATTTTTGTCTGTGGATTCAAAAAAAAAAAAAAACATTTTAAGCTAACGTGATGTCATTACGGTAAAATAATCTACAAAACACACTGCATCACAACCTTGGCTCAAAAGGCCTGTTACTCACCGCAGTGACTAACGATAAGAGCTGAATTCGTAAGTGGTTTTGCACTGCTCAGGTACTGAGAGTAATCTGATGATTGTGAGTTTGCAATTAATCACTAAAGCTTTATCACCAGAGGTTTAGCCGGTTTTATGTAACTAAGATATCTCTTAAACTCTCCCTATTCTAAATCTTGCAAGGACCTTGAACTTGCTCACAATTCACACAAAAAATGTATATGATTTTATTGCATATTATCCATACTAGTGAAACGCTAACATGCTAAGTCATGTTAGCTATCTGTCTATCCGTCCTTTTCAAACCATTTCAAACTTCTAGCTTTTACATATATTTTAAAGCTAAGCTTTTTTTATAGCTTTATATACTAGTTAGTGTGTTTGTCTTGTTTTCCAGCATAATATGTAAACATTGGGGTGATGCAATGGCGCAGTAGGTAGTGCTGTCGCCTCACAGCAAAAAGGTCGCTGGTTCGAGTCTCGGCTGGGTCAGTTGGAGTTTCTGGGTGGAGTTTGCATGTTCTCCCTGCGTTCCCGTGGGTTTCCTCTGGGTGCTCCGGCTTTCCCCACAGTCCAAAGACATGCGGTATAAGTGAATTGGGTAGGCTAAACTGTCCGTAGTGCATGAGTGTGAATGAGTGTGTATGGACGTTATACAGAGATGGGTTGCAGCTGGTAGGGCATCCACATACTGTATACTGGATAATTTGGCGGTTCATTTCGCTGTGGCGACCCCAGATTAATAAAGAGACTAAGCCGAAAAGCAAATAAATGAATGAATAAAAAAAAAAATGTAATTGCATTAAAATTATTGCAAAATATATTTACTTGAAAACCAAAATGAAGCAAGCTATTAGACCTAGTTTTTTTTTTTAAATGTCCAAACATTTTCCAGTTTATGCTCAGATAAAAAAAAAGAAATCTGCTAATGAGCCAAGAAAAATAAGTGTATTTAAAAAAGTATTTTTTTTCAGTTGTTATACTGAAAAACATTTAACTACACATACCGGACACTTTATTAGGTACTTTATTGCTAGTTCCAGGTTGGACTCCCTTTCACCTAATTTCTACGTGTCAAAGATTCAACAAGACACTGGAAATATAACTTAGAGACACAATTACTGGAGATTTGTCAGCTGCACATCCATGATGCAAATCTCTTGTTCCATCACATCCCAAAGGTGCTTTAGGCTGTACTCACACTAGGTACAGTTGCCTCGAACCGGGCCAAAGCACGCTTGTCCCCCCTCCCGTCTTCCCCGACGGTCCGCGCTCACACCACAAATGGGCTTCGGCACGCTTACGTCATCGCTTCTGCGCTGTTCAGTGAGAAGCGCTCTCACTCAGCAGCACAGTGGAGATTTCTCTAGTTATATCGTTTCAGTCGTTTGATATGCCGTCAAATATTTCGCCAAACAGTCCTTAGGGATGCGGGGACACGCAGTCAGATATTTCGCCGAACAGATCCGCCACTTTTGGCGCTCATAAACAATCATAAAGCTCTCGTGCTGCAGGAATGAGGAGGTTTGCTGAAGGTGCGCAGCCGCGTGCAGTGAGGGGTTTGCGTCTTTAATAAACTACGGCAGTTTGCGTTCACTGAACAGTAAGAATTATTAATAAATCCACATGAAACAGTCCTTTGAAAGTCATGTCTCGCTTTCAGTTTCGGGCTTTGGCGCGTTTTGCACTCACACACAAGCATACCGCGCCAAAGCCCAAGTGAGCCGGGCTCAGGCACACCTCTTCCAACCGGGCCAGGGCCGGCCAAGGGAACCGTGCTTGAGCCCGATTCAGCGCACTCACACTTCTCAAACGATCCGGGAAACGGGCCTGGGCACGATACGGATGGCATAGTGTGAGTAGGCCCAATAGTGTGAATTGAGATCGGGTGGTTGTGGGGGCCATTTGAATACAGTGAACTCATTGTCATTTTCAAGAAACCAGTCTGAGATGATTCGTGCTTTATGACATGACATAACAATGTTATCCTGCTGGAAGCAGCCATTAGAAGATGGGCCATAAGTGTGGCAAGAAAATATCCCTGCACACCATTACACTACAACCACCAGTCTGAACCATTGATTCAAGGCAGGATGAATCCATGCTATCATTGTTTTTGATGCCAAATTCTGACCCTAACATCCGAATGTCGCAGCAGAAATCAAGACTTATCAGACCAGGTAACGTTTTTCCAATCGTCGATTGGTCAATTTTGGTGAACCTGTATTGTAGCCTCAGTTTCCTGTTATCCTCTTCCTGTGGTCTTCTGCTGCTGTACCCCATCTATTTGAACTGCAGCAAATCATCTTGACCATGTCTACATGCCTAAATGCATTGACTTGCTGCCATGTGATTGGCTGATTAGAAATTTGCATTCACGAGCAGTTGGACAGTTGTACCTAATAAAGTGGCCAGTGAGTGTATATGTGAATGAATCCCTTTTCTTTGTATGACACATTGACAGTACAGTGCATATTTACTGGAGAATTACCTTAAATGTTGAATATGCAGTATAAAATCAGTCTACAGCCTTTCATAGACAATTTAGGACAGTATACGTTTTTCGTAGAAGTGTGAAAGTTAAAAAAAACAATTACTGCATGGAATTTATAAATGTACGAATTTTTTTTTTACTGGAGGAGTTAAAAATACTAGGCAAAAATCTATTTTATGCAGTGCAGATGATACTAGGAGCATGCTGGCATTACATAC